GTTATGTTTTCACACACTTAGGCTCTTTAAAAATTTTACAAGCATGTTAGCATGTGCATGTTGTAGGATCTGAAATGGATACACTAGAACACTAGAGGGGGATGAATAGTATTCTTTTAAAATCTATGTAAAGTAGATAATAAATTATAATAAAGAATGACAACAATCTCAGAAAATCACAATGACAAACAAGGGATTTTATATTGGTTCCACCAATCCGGTGTACATCCAGTCCCCGAGCAAATCCCACTTGAGATTTCACTATAATTTTGAATCAAGTACAAAATTAAAATCAAACCTGACCAATTTGCAAGTCCCTGCAAATTGCAACACCAATTGACAACACATTGCCAATTACACCTCAATCTCTAAACCAAGAGATCAACCTCTCTCAAACCGAGAGAACTTTCCTTGAATCAAAACAACTCAATTCTTATAAGCCTTGATTTGTAGTGCTGTGTAGCAGTGGCTTATGAATAATTTTAACCTCTGAAAAATGCCTAAATAATATGTATTTTGATTGAGGATCAAAGGCAATTTCAGAAACAATCTTTTTAGCAAAATCTGAATTTTTTAACTCTTGAAAAATGTACAAAAATCAAAGCTTATGGGTATATCAATAACATGCATTTTTCTGAACAAATAACCTTTTTATAGTGCTTGAAAAGATAAATTTTTAAACTTTAAAAACGTTTAAAAAAACGGCTAAAAAGTGTCACTAATTCAAATTCTGAATTCTGTAAAAACTGTATCTGTAATCAACTACAAGTCATAGTAGTCGACTACACTGAGTCTAAACAGACTCAGTGAAGTCAGAAAATTTCTTAGTAGTCGACTATAATGGTTATTAGTCGACTATACTGTAATTTGACAGAAACTTGAAAAACATATTTTCGCCTACAGTAGTCAACTACAAAGTCGATTAGTCGACTACACTGCAAATTAACATAAACTTATATTTCAGACATAAGCTTGAGTAGTCGACTACTATTCTAATTAGTCGACTATACTGTAAACTGACTGAAACTTATATTTCTGTCATAGGCTTGAGTAGTCGACTACTATTCTAATTGGTCGACTACTAAGGGTTAAAAATAAAATGAATTAAATGTTTTGACACTCAATTATTAACTATAAACTCTAATGGTTAACATAGGGGATTTCTATAGTTAACCAACACACTAAACATATATTAGTGTGTTCTAATTTCTATGTGTGTGTATGTGTGAGTGATCAAGGCTTGTACAATATTTTTAAGTAAAGGAAAAATATAAAAACAATTACATTAACTTGTATGTTCTTCATCTTCTTTACTTCATAATGCCTTGAACTCATTTTGCACTTGTTCGTATTTGATATTGAAATCTGCATATAAATGTTAGTGCATTTGTATAACACACATAGTATAAATTGTTATCATCAAAATAATATCGTGGAGACATGATATTCAACATTCTCCTCTTTTTTTATGATGACAAATAATTTATGCATATGTAAGTATATTCTAAAAAAATTAGAACATTTGAAACAAATATACTTACTCCCCTCCCCCCTGCATAAATGCATATTAGAGTCTATAATATTAACATGAGTTTATAACATTTATATCATTTCTCCCCCTTTGTCATTAACAAAAAGAAATAAATAAGTATGCTAAACATGCCATAATTTCTTCAAAATGAGCTAATACTTCAAACAAATCATGCAAATTATGAACATAGTCCATAACTTCACTCATCCAAATAGGTAGGCAAAGACTTGCCGTAAAAACCAAAAGTTCCACAATGTTCATTACCATAATCTGTTTAAAATATATAGCACATCAATTAACTAATAAAAACCAAAAGTTCCACAATGTTCATTACCATAATCTGTTTAAAATATATAGCACATCAATTAACTAAATAAGCACCATAACAATAACTTATTCATTACCATAATCTGTTTAAAATATATAGCACATCAATTAACTAAATAAGCACCATAACAATAACTTAAAATATAGTCAAATAAGAAACATAGTAGCACACAAATTACATATGTCTTAAAAACCAATAACTACGACATAGGTTTTGACAATCAAACTTAAACATACCAAAATAAGACATAATTGTTTTGATAACAAACATAAAGTTCAACCAAATACTAAATGATGCATGCATGATCTTCTAAGGTGCTGGAGGAGGTTGATGTCATTGGAAGAATGCACTAAGCTTCATGTCCAAGTTATCAAATTTCTTCATTAACTCCTCCTGATTACTGATGATGTAACTATTCTGGGAATAAAGAGCTCGCTGACCAGTCTCTAATTCAAGAATGCGTGCGGACAAGGTGTTATATTGCACATCCGAGAAACAAGAGGGTTCTGAGTGCATTTGTGGTGGTTGTTGACTAGTAGAATGACCTGCTTGAGTTGAAGATTGTGAGATATCGTGTGGAATTTCTTCTTGAGGAGGGTGAGGTTCATCTTGAAGATTTTAATCATGAATTTTAAAATTTGTTAGTTTCATCCTAGTTAAGGCATTTGAATCGAAGAATTCAATGGAACGAACGTCAAAATTTTCAGACTCAAGATCCACATGAAATTTATCAAAGATTTTAGTTAAAAAGGCACCATAAGGAAGAAATCATTTTGGTGTTGTCAGAAGATTGTCATAATAAACTTCAGCCCAATTAACTTGGATATTTCCCATTATAGCATATACTGCTTTTGCTAAGTCTAGGGAAATAAAATGGAAACTCCCAGTTTTTGGAAACAAGTTATAGGCTAAGATTCGGGCAATGAAACAAGGAATTGGGCGGAGCTTGTTTGAATTATTTAAAGGTTTGCTATAACCAGGAAGAAATGTATGATTGGATAATAAATCTGAATTATTCATTCTAATTGACCTAAGAGGGACTCATTGAAAAGGAATATTAAAATTTTTCCCAATTGACTTAGTAGTCAATTCAATTTTAATTCCTTTGACAAGAGTTTTAATCTTTTCAGTTCCACTGATAGTTCCTACGCGTTCTATATTAGTATAGAACAGTTGAACAAGAAAAGGATATGTGGGTTTTTTATTTTCAGCAGAGAATAATTCAAGCAACCCCACATTTTCAAAATATGATCCAAAATTTCATGGAATAAAATCATCAAATTTCACAAATCGTCCTGGAAAAACTTTAAATGTGGATATTTTGTTAAATTCTTCAAGTAAATCAGGACTTTTTAAATACATGATGATTTCATCGTTAATATTAGTATGAACTTGCTTAGCTTTCTTAGCTCTAGACATGATGAATCAGAAATATACCAAAAGATAAGAACGATCAAGTTGATAAATTACCAAAACAGATGAAACCCTAGGATTAGTCGAAAATATATGGTCGAGATGAATTTTACTTAAGTGAAACGGGTATTGGGTTTTGGGTTTGATTTATAAAAATCCAAAAGGCTTGAAAACTGTAAATATGTATAAGTAGTCGACTACACTGTAATCGGCAGAAAGCTGATTTTCATATTTTAACTCAGAGTAATTGACTACTATTCTAATTAGTCGACTATACTGTAAACTAACAGAAACTTATATTTCTGTCATAGGCTTGAGTAGTCGACTACTATTCTAATTGGTCGACTACTAAGG